CAGTCATCCGTTGTTTAAACTTACTAAATGACCTGAAAATACATGCACTAGGAATCGAATAAAATAATGCGTACTAAATAATTTCTTCTTCAAAATGTTAAGAAAAAGATATTTTAAGGATTTTCACTAAAAACCAAAAAAAAAAAAAATTATGTACACACAGCCGGAGAAGAATTAAAAACTTCAATTGCATGGGTTTAATAACTAATAATAAAAGTATAATTATAGGAAATGTCACCCCTTAATTTTGATCTTCTTCTATACGCCGGCTGATATAGACATCTCAGGTATTTAAATCATGTTACCGGGTAACAGGTAAAAATCTAGAACGAAGACAAAGAAGAAGATTGTTATGTACGGGACTAAATGGGAGGCCATGTTGGATTAAGAGGTGAGACAAATTAATTATTAAGATTTAACATGTTATAAGACCTTTCGAGATGTCATAACTGATCCCAAGTCTAGTATAATACATTAGCATAAATGTATGAGAGAACCACTTGAGATCATACTGACTACATGAATTGTTTTGACTATTATGAAGTGTTTACATTTTCTTCCAAATAATATATTTTTTTAAAACCTATAAGGAAAGTTTGCTCAAGTTTGTTTTCAAACTGTAACAAAATCTACCCTTCGCATTCTTTTTAAACCGAGTTGTCTAACAATAGAGAGGTTTAGCAAACCAACGTGTACGCGTACGTGAACGTGTAGCACCAGAAATCTGTGCATTACGTCATCAATTATGCTAATGACGAATTTCTACACGTATCATCCTACGCAGGTTACGTGTAGATTGCCAAGTACACGTTAGTCAAAACTTGTAACTTATACTTCTTTAACTGTTGTTTATTTTTCAAAAAGGGTGTGTTTTAATAAAACCTGAATATTTAATGCAAAATGCTGATAAAAGAACTTAACGTCAGTAATTTAAAAATTATAAATTATAGGGAGTTAAAATCACAACATCTAGATTTTCGAAACATGCTTTGACGGATTAAAAACATAAGAAATCTGTACAATCTTTTTCTTATTAGTACATGCATATATTTATGTAAAACAGATAGATACGTATTAAAATCCTTGCTTGTGTGGATGAATTTTAAATGTAAACCATTTTTACATTTAAAAACTTACAAGTACAAGTACAGGTTATACTTTGCTAAACAAGAAAAAAAAATGTTTACGTGTACATGTAATTCCAACTTGTATTTTACACGTACATGTACACGTACAAGTGAGCTTGCTAAACCTCTCACAAAGAAAACACACATGTAACAAAATAATGTATTACATATTTTAAAATTTGAATTGCGTTTGTTTTCTGTATTCAGTGACCCATGCCTCCATTTACTTTATACAGGGCCATCTGATTTTATTTAACCAAAAATCCAGTGATGGACCCCCTGGACAGAGCTCAAGTTCTCCTCCTCTGTGACCTGTGTCAAAGAGCTGCATTACAGAGTCATTGTGAACTTTGTCAGATTAACCTGTGTAAGGTCTGTGTAGGGGAGCATCTCTCTGATTCATCTATAAATCATAAAGTTGTACCATACAAACACAGAAAATCTACTCCTAACGTGAACTACCCCAAATGTCCAAACCATACCCAGAAACATTGTGAACTTTACTGTGAGAAATGTGACATTCCTGTCTGTTCTACCTGCATCTTCTCTGATGAACATCATGGGCATAAGTTGACAAATATCTTACAGAATCCCAGCTTTATAAAAGAAATTATAATTAAAGATTTGAAAGAACTAGAAAATAGAATGTATCCTACCTATGAAGAAATTGCATTAGATTTAAACTGGGAAAAACAAAACTTGGAAAAACATTATGAGAAACTGACAACAGCTGTAACCATACAAGGAGAAGAATGGCACAGAGAAATTAACATCATTGTCAACAAACAAAAATCTGAAATTGATGACATGAAATCTAAACACCTGGCTGCTCTAAAGAAACAGGAAAATGAAATCAAACAGATTATATCTGAAGTAAAACAGAGTATACATGATCTAAAAAAAATACTGGACTCAAATGATGTCTCCCTAACCTCTGCTTACAAATCCAGGAATGCTGAATTCAGAAGTTTACCCCCTAAAGTCAACGTTTCATTACCAAGGTTTTCTCCTCATCCGATCAACACAGAACAGTTCCTTCAAATGTTTGGATTTCTGTCATCATTATCCATTACAACAGAAGAACATTGCTACACAATGAAGACACCAGGGGCGGGATTCATAAAGACTCTTAAAATGAGTTTAAGTGTGAGAAATTTCTTAAACCAATAAAAAATACTTAAATAACATTAAGACTTTGTTTTTATCTTAATTTTTATTCATAAAACTTCTAAAGTCTAAGAAAACTTTTAAATGGTTCTTAAAATTAAGAGTCCTCCATAGTATTCTTAAAGTGATTAGAAAAATTTAAGTACTGAATAAAAATGGCTGCCATTAGATTACATAGAAGGGTTTTTAGGGAAAGAAAGGATTGTTTAGCAGTATACAGTGATGCTGAACTTGTTGAAAGATTTAGATTGGATTCTGCTGGCATTCTTTTTATAGAGAGGTTAAATGGACATGAAATTGTAAGTAGTTCAAGGAGAAATCATGCTATATCCCCAGTGCAGAAAATTTTGCTGACTCTCAGATTCCTTGCCACCGGAAAAATGCAGCTATGCAATGGAGACGATTTGGGAATTTCACAGCCTACTGTGTCTAGGGCTATTATTGCAACCATTAAAAGTCTGTCTTCCCCCGGAATTGTTGCACAATTCATTAAATTTCCACTGGATCATGGGGCCATACGTAAAAACCAAGAAGATTTTTTCTCAATCGCTGGATTCCCAGGCGTTGTAGGAGCCATCGACGGCACACACGTTCAGATTATTGCCCCACACGAGTATGAAAATGAATATGTAAACAGACACCACTTTCATAGCATTAACACTCAGGTTGTTTTTGATCCAAACTACAGAATAATTGATGTTGTTGCTAAATGGCCAGGGTCAACACACGATTCTCGCATCCTTAATGAGAGTGGTATCAAGGTGTTATTTGAGCAAAATCATCTCCCTGTCCATACTCACTTACTCGGAGACAGTGGTTACCCTTCCAAACGCTGGCTATTAACTCCGTTTCTGCGACCAAATCAGGGCTCCCAGACGAATTACAACAGGTAATGAATATTATTCTCTATCCAATTTCTACAACATTGTCATTGTTTTAGCTATTTAGAAGTTAAAAAATTTAAAATTCACGAACAACTGTAACTTAGGCTACTTTCGTTTTAGTTCATATCGAGCGCCCTCTCTTGTCCAGCGCCCCCTTGTAGATAAATCTACGAGGTGGATCCAAATATTTGCGCATCTATAATAAAATCATTGCTTACTTAAATGACAAGCTTTTCTCATTTTTTTTTAATATCAAAAATCTATTAAAAAAAAAAAAATGTTTGCCTCTTTTCATTCTTCTTTTTTGAAATTATTTATATTTAAATATAAAAAAAAAAATAAAAAATAATAAAATAAAATTAAAAAAAAAAATTTATTTTTACTTCTCTGCAGTATACATGCATGTACATGTAGTTTCTAAGTATCATAAATGACAGAAGCTTAGAAATATGTACATGTATACACCCCTCATAAAGATTAAAAAAAATTATTATGTTTAAATTGTTCCTGTTAGCATATGAAAAATAAAAAAAATTGGATTTTACAAAGCAATCAGTAGTTAATTGACCTTTAAATTTTGTATGGGCCCTGTAATATTTCCAATTAAAATTTTATATTGATGAAAATAGGTAAGTTTGGAAATACTTGTGTCTTTATTTTACTAAGTTTTACTGTTGAGTTAAAAGCTACAAATTAATGATTTAGACTTATTCCTTAATTATAAACAATAATCTCAAAATTGAAGTTTTTTGGAAGAAAAAAAAAGAAAATCAAACACAAACTTAGAATTTAAGAACTATTACCTAATCATTATACTGAGAAAATTGTTTTATTCCAAACTTTTTTCAATATTGGTTATTAAAACAGAGCCCACAAGAAGACGAGAAGTGTGGTGGAGAGAGGGATAGGGCAGCTGAAGAGGCGATTTCATGTCCTGCATGGTGAGATCCGCCTTTCACCAGAAAAGGCATGTCAGGTGATAATAGCCTGCTCCGTCCTTCACAACATCTGCAAGGACCGCAATATTGCATGCCCCCCGCCAGGTGATGAAGATGGGGAGGAGGATGATCATCAACAGATTGTAAATGCCAACAACAACAACAACTGCAATCATGATGGAACTAGATACAGAAAACTGTTTGCTGACACTCACTTTTGAATCTGTACTGGAGGTATATTATATCTTTTGGTTTTAAACCATCCAGGGGATGACAAATCCCATTGCCTGACGCCCGGGGCTAGTGAATTTTAGGGGTGGGTAAGTGAAATTTTATCAACCACTTGCCCGTGGGCAAGTGACTTATCAAAAATAGAATTTATTTGTAGGCCATAAATTTAAAGCTGGGCATAGGGGCTTGTATGATTCACTCAGCATTTGTCTTCCTCTTTTTTTGAAAAAATATCTATAAATACAGAATTAATCTATGGTAGGGCAAGCAAAAATTCAGGTAGGGCAAGTCAATTTTGACCATGTACTTGCCCTTGGACAAGTGCCTTAAAAATCTATTTGTCAGCCCCTGACCATCTCTTTTAGAATTATAAAAAGTTAATAAATTTGAAGTTAAATAATTCATGTAATCAAAAAAAAAAATAATTTCAAACATACCAAGAAGGATGGTGCATTCATTTTTTTTAAAATAAAAATTGCAACATTTTTAAAATTCTGAATTCATATTTCAAGTGATGGGTGTAAAGATCCAATTTTATGTATAATAAATTTTTGGTGTGATATATACATCAACAAAGTGTGCCAACAAGTCAAATACTTCAAGATAAATATTTATTTTATAATATTTTAAATGATATAGATAACAATTCTGGAAAATACATATGAAAAAAATAACATAAGATTACTTTACAAGTTAATTCTGCATTTTTCCCTTTCATATATTTGAGGCTTTTAAATTTGAAGTCCAATGCAAATAAGGGACAATCGCAGCTTATATTATGTGATTTACTCTTCCCCCTTTGCCTTCTTGATTTTGAGCGCATAATATTCCACCTCGAGCTCCAACTTCCTCACAGTAAGTTCATCAATTTTTCTCTTTAGGTCTGTACTCCCAGTAGTGCTGGAGGTCCTTGAGACTAGGCGTGAAGTGGATGTGGATGTACTTGGCATAGGAGGTGGTGGTGGAGTTGCAAAACATGACACTGTGTCGGATGGTCCTTCAATAACATGAATGCCCCTGAAAAAAAATCAATTTTAATTTTTGTAAAATTTATACCAATTATATTTCTCTATTTATTTTCACAAAACATTTTTTCCTAATAAAGTTTGAGAACATTAAATAATATTAAATAATTTTGATTTGTGCCAGGAGACCAATTAAAAACAGATTCCACCAGCTGGGAAGAAAAAGGGATATAATTACTTTGTATAATCTATTTTGATAAAACTTGAATATTGTCTATCACCCATAATTGTTTATGATAATGTATTTGTGCTATAAGCTTAATTATTATTTAACATAAAATTTATGACAATTTTCTTATTTCATTCTTTGCTTTTTTTCATTTGAAAAAAAAAATTATTTGTGGTCAAAGCTCTCTTAAGTCTTTCATTGGCTTGTCTGACCCAAAGGCTCAAGTGTGCAAGCTTTCAATATATTGCACAGCATTAGCCATAAATGTAGATCTGCTAAGAAAAAAAAAATTGTTTCCACTCTCCTAATTCTAATTTGTGAAATCACTTATCAGTGCTTTTCTTTTGCAGTGAAGATCTTAGCTCTCAATTTTTTAAAGAAAAGATTTATGAAAATTTTACCCTAAAATTGTGTTCCTCATGAACTATTTAAAGCAATATTTTAATTAATTTGAATTCATTTTTAGCTCACCTGAGCCGAAGGCTCAAGTAAGCTTTTCTGATCACATTTTGTCCGTCGTCTGTCCGTCTGTAAACTTTTCACATTTTCGACTTCTCCTCCAGAATCAATGGGCCAATTTTAACCAAACTTGGTACAAAGCATCCTTGGGTAAAGGGGAGTTTAAATTGTTAAAATGAAGGGCCAAGTCTTCTTACAAGGGGAGATAATCAAGAAAAAACAAAAATAGGGTGGGGTCACTTAAAAATCTTCTTCTCAAGAACCACTGGGCCAGGAAAGCTGAAACTTATATGGAAGCATCCTTGGGTAGTGTAGATATTAAAGTGTTAAAATCATGACCCCCAGGAGTAAGGTGGGGCCACAATAGGGAATCCAAGTTTTACATATAAACATAAAGAACAAATCTTTAAAAATCTTCTTCTCAAGAACCACTGGGCCAGGAAAGCTGAAACTTATATAAAAGTATAATATCCTGGGGTAGTGTAAATTTTTAAGTTTTAAAATCATAAAAGGGAGGGGCATGATAGTATAGCAAGTGGGGGAATCTGGTAAAGAACTGCATCACCCAAGTCACTCAGGTAAGTGATGTGGCCCATGGGCCTTTTGTTTTTCATTGGTGTAATCTAGATTTGTTTAAATCAGTTCAAAGATTAAAAAGATTTAAAATTGCCCACCTACTTTCAATATTTTTTGTGAAGCCTGAATTAAGGTGGAAACAACATTTTTTCCTTCATCTATTGATGATTCTATTAAATCAGAATTTAAATCCTTTATACTTACAATGGTTCCTCTCCTAGAAGACCTAACTGTATGAGTGTAGTGTCTGCACCTCCTCCAATACCAGTCAGGCAAGTGTTATTTTCCCCCACAACACTGGACACAGCCTCAGCAATTGCACTTAGTGCCTTTGGAGGAGGGCCACCACCTTTAAAGTACAAATATTTGATTCAGCATAATTTACCCCCACTCTTTATTTACCTTTCCATATGTTTTAAGCATTACATGTATAAATAAAAACACTTTTCACCTTGATTTTAAATTGTCACTCAAAGTGAAGTGAGTTAATAAGTCTAGCATTTTGAATGAAAAAAAGATGATCAGATATTACTTCTATTAATATTATCCTGTGGGGCACCCCAAAATAATGAAAATATTTTACTTTGGGTTATTCCCCTTTTATCTCTCCTTGGTTACATGTAAACTATATGAATGTACGCGGAAAAACCAAACTGCAGAAATTTCAATCCTTTCTGACCATTTGTAAATGGTTGAGTGTTTATTTAATGTTAATTTAATGCATAGAAGGGTTAACATTGAGTTTTAAGATTATTGCTGAAGGATACATGAAAGTCTATAATACACAGACATGATTGAGTTGAACACGATCGCGGATCAAGTGAAAATGTGTGTAATGACCAACCTGTCCCAGTCGTACCTCTCCTATGATCGGATATTTCCGATTTTGATTTGGAAAAAATATTGTGCCATTTTTTTTCCACCTCTGCTGCTGTTCTAGCTGGACCAACGCCCATTGCAGTCAGCGTTTGTGCAATACTTTGCCACGTACGAGCCTTCATGTCCGACGTCAGTGTTGGACCCAACTTCCCTCTAAGAATATTCTTATTTTCATCGACTAAATTAGTCAACGTAAGGGTTTCATCGGCATTCCAATTTGGCTTCCTTTTTGTCTGCGATTCCATTTTCCCGTCTGCTAATATTACGTCACGTCTGTTGAATTCATTATCTCCTTCACTAGAGAGCGCGTTTGTTGTTGCAAAAAGTACGGCAAATTGCTAGTGTTGTCATAGTGCTTATACTTAAATATGTTGTTTTTCTTAAAATAAAATTTAGTTAAGAATTTTGCTTAGGATCTTTATGAATTAGAACTTAAGAATTTTTCTTAGTTAAAAAATTTTTTAATGTTTAAGTACAACTTTTAAGAAAAATCTAAAAGTCTTTATGAATTCCGCTCCAGAACATTATGGCTTAGCTTACCTATTCTTTCGTGTCAATGCTATTAGAAGTGTTTGTCGAATATTATGGGCCCAGTGTACAACTGCCGATTGGCTACTTTGAGGTTTTTGGATTTGACGCCAATACGATATTAATCAGACTTAACTCAATATGAGTTAAGTCACGTTATGGAGACAAATAGAAATATGGTCCAGGAAAGATAACTCTAATGCAAATGTATATAACTGCTTAGCTACATCCATTACGCATGTGCATTTTACTCTTCCTTTTCCATCTCTGTCATCCATTGAAACTCAGCATTGAATTCGCAAGTGATTTATTTCGTTATCATAACTTATTCACAGACATTTAGTGAGGACAAGCGATATTCGAGGCGTTTTGAAAGCCTAAATGACTCTTTTGATAAATGTGAGTACACGCAGTGATGTTACGTGATGTTTTGTGCTGCAAACAAAGAACTGATTGGAAAGGATTTATCTTTAACTCTGGTAATGAAAACATTGATATTCCACTAATTCCAGGCTTTCCGTGAATTTCATCAGACTTGTAACTAAATATTCTGATACTGGCATACTGATTTTCAAGCACGATAACAGTAAACAACCCCGAACAAAAAATTCTCCATTGTTGATGGTCAGTTAAATTATGCAGCCAAAGCAAACTACAACAAAAAATACTTCCATTTAAATGTGGTCTGATGCGTTATTGATATTAGTTATGGTTTCTTTGACGAGGCATTCAGTTGACATTCAAGGCATCCTCAATTAGGCCTATATGCTAATACACTGTAATTAGACTAGGGGCCTGACGATATACTACAGGGGTTGGTTAGAATATAATTAAGTGTCCTAAAATGTTAACAGAATTAAATTCCTTATATCGGGGCTCAGTAAATGCTGAGCTATTCTTATTGTACATGTCAAATTGCATGCAAACTCAACAAAGATTATAATTTACACTAAAACATTAATAAAGGCATGTCTCATCAATTAAAATTACCCCCGAATTCATTGTTGCTCAAACATAAAAAGCTGCCCATCACCAACCAGTAGGCAAAGGTCTAATCAAACAACACAGTCCAATCAGCATTCCCCCAATTCAAAAAAAAAAATAAAAAATAAATAAATAAATAAATAAATTTAAGCCCCTCGAGGTACTAGTGTAAATGATTTCATTGGCATGGCATTATGCTGGAATTGTGTGCCGCTTTTGATCAAGTAATAGTAATGAACTAATGTCAGGTAAACATCAATACTCCATTAGATTAAAATTTCAAATATAATTAATTACTTAAATAATTTTTTTATGTGGGTTCCAAGGACTCGTAAGATTGGTCGAATCTATCTAAAGCCTTGCTACCTGGGAACAGGTGGAATCAAACATTCACAATATCACTTTAAATGAATCATATAACGATTAATTAATCATATGAAATCCTCTTGTTCTATGCTATACTGCATACGACAAAGAGCTATAACTCTCCAGAACTGTCATCAGTTGCAGTTTTGTCATGGCCTGGGCAAAATTTTGCCCGCATGTGGCGGATGTCTTCACATGCTCAGCTTTATTTGCTCTCATGTGAAGACATATGGCCGAATTTTGCTAGAAGCTCGCTGCTGATCCTGTTATCTTCCAGGGTCCGTGGCCAATAATTGGGCTTATGTCATTCTATGAACCTTCTACATCATTCACTGTTGAAAAAGTCGATGTAGTTCATGGTCCTGGTAATACATCGATACCTGCTCATTGCAATGCAGGTATCATTGTATATCATAGAATATCATTGTATATCATTGAATATTGTTGCATATCATTGAATATCGTTGTTTGTCATTGAATATCGTTGAACCATTGAATATCATTGAATATTGTTGTATCATCGGATACCATTGAATATCATTGAATACCATTGCATATCATTGAATATCGTTGCAAATCATTGAATATCATTGAATATTGTTGTATCATTGGATACCATTGAATATTGTTGCATTTCACTGAATATCGTTGAATATCATTGCAAATCATTGAATATCATTGAATATTGTTGTATCATTGGATACCATTGAATATCATTGAATATTATTGCATATCATTGAATATCCTTGAATACCACTGAACAATCATTGTACACATTTAGTAGCAGTTATTCAATATACACTTTGTGTATATCATTGCATTGATACTTTATGTACATCATTGTATTGATACCTTGAGTACATCATTGTATTGATAATTCATTTTGACTATTGATCAATAAAGCCATGACAAAAACTGCCAATCACTGTTAATCTATTTTGTCGACATAATCAGACTTAACTCAATATGAGTTAAGTCACGTTATGGAGACAAATAGAAATATGGTCCAGGAAAGATAACTCTAATGCAAATGTATATAACTGCTTAGCTACATCCATTACGCATGTGCATTTTACTCTTCCTTTTCCATCTCTGTCATCCATTGAAACTCAGCATCCCACCCACCCTCCCCATTCACTAGATTTTAATAAGCTGTTATTTTATTTTGAAAAAGATGTTGCTGCTGTCTTTGATTTCCTTTTTCAGTCATCATCAATTCCCTTGGCTACCAACAGAAGAATGCGTGACATCCTTTCCATTGACTACCAGCAGAAGACTTCATTACATTTCCTCTTGGCTACCAAAAGAAGAATCAATTACATTTGATTCCTTGGCTACCAGCAGATGAATCCATTACATCCATTCCACTTGGCTACCAGCGGAAGAATCCGTTACATTCGATTCCTTGCCTACCAGCAAAAGAATCCATAAGCGTCATGGCTTTTCTTGTGTATCATTTAACTGCGGTGTTTCTGGACTTTTTTACGGACTGTGAACCGAATTTTGCTAGAAGCTCGCTGCTGATCCTGTTATCTTCCAGGGTCCGTGGCCAATAATTGGGCTTATGTCATTCTATGAACCTTCTACATCATTCACTGTTGAAAAAGTCGATGTAGTTCATGGTCCTGGTAATACATCGATACCTGCTCATTGCAATGCAGGTATCATTGTATATCATAGAATATCATTGTATATCATTGAATATTGTTGCATATCATTGAATATCGTTGTTTGTCATTGAATATCGTTGAACCATTGAATATCATTGAATATTGTTGTATCATTGGATACCATTGAATATCATTGAATACCATTGCATATCATTGAATATCATTGAATATCGTTGCAAATCATTGAATATCATTGAATATTGTTGTATCATTGGATACCATTGAATATTGTTGCATTTCATTGAATATCGTTGAATATCATTGCAAATCATTGAATATCATTGAATATTGTTGTATCATTGGATACCATTGAATATCATTGAATATTATTGCATATCATTGAATATCCTTGAATACCACTGAGCAATCATTGTACACATTTAGTAGCAGTTATTCAATATACACTTTGTGTACATCATTGCATTGATACTTTATGTACATCATTGTATTGATACCTTGAGTACATCATTGTATTGATAATTCATTTTGACTATTGATCAATAAAGCCATGACAAAAACTGCCAATCACTGTTAATCTATTTTGTCGACATAATATTTTTTCAATCTTGAACCCGATGCAAATTTGACATAAAAAGTTTATACATTTTAATTCAAATAAGATAATTTGAAAAGAAGATGATCTTGTGAAACACTGATTCAGCTGATGACAGCTCTATTTAGACCACAAACTCTAAGATCAAGAACTAGAATTAAAACATGATAAAATGATTGCCCCTTACCCCCCTTTTTTTCCCAGTGAAAAAAGTTATGGCGATCGGGGGTTTCACAGTTTTTCATAACTTAGTAGATCATACTCCAAGTTCTTAGAGTAATTTAAAAATTATTGATACCAAAGGAAAGTTCTTCTCAAAAGGAATACAAATGATTAATGTGAAAGCACAGACACTTAGCTGACGTTACTTATTTTTTTTCTTTTAATAAAAAAAATATACCCCCTACCTAATGATTAGAATTAAAATAAGTAACGTCAGTTGCCTGAGTGTGAATTAAAGCATCACTTTACTGTACTAAAGATATAGGCAAGGTTATTATTTTTTTTTATCAAACTCAAAGGTCAAGATCAAGAGGTACAATGTAAAAACTTTTGTACTTTGCATTAACTATTCAAAAGTTGTCGCCAAATTTGTAAAAGGTTTTCCAACTGAAGGTCAAATTCTACGATTAATGTATAAAAATGTTGGTACCCATGGAATGAAAGCACTTGTCTTATAAAGAACCTCAGGACCCCGGCGTCACTAGTCAGGTGTTCTAAAACATATGTACATGTATTATAATTAATAGACAAAAAGACTTCATTGTATACAAAAATAAGGAAGCTCTAAACATTGCTTATTAAGAGCAATTTATTTTATGTAATAGCATTAAGTTATAGATAAGTTTAACCATTCGTGCAATTAAAAGAAAATGTCTGCTCGGAAGGTTAATTTTGTCGGAATTTTCGCATATCTTTTATTGTATGAAATTACCCGTCGTTAAAACTTAGTGTAGAGAATTTATATTAGTTGATTGTCAGATTTCGGATTGTTAGCTACTTATTATTAATCTCCCATTTAGCTGTATCACCTTATCTATTAGTAGGCATAGTCAGTTTATTGCCCTTTAATTACAGTGATAATTAGTTAATCACGGGTGGTCCTTGTATAATTTTATGTATTGCCTCCCCACTTAGAGGAGGCAGAATTTTCACTCCCCACATTGTGGAGGCTCAGTTTACTATATAAATGAGCGCATTTGATCATTTAATTTAGGAGGAGATGCAGTAGATGAAGTAGATGACGTTTAGATGCTGTAGTTTGTGTTTAGAGAGTTGAA